TATGAACACCTTTGCATATAAATAGTAAAAGCAGGGTGGGAGGAGGAGATAAAGTAAAGCTTAAATGAGGTCATGGATACACATTAAATTAACAGCTGCTGCTATCTCATTTTAAAATAGCTAAGTGCTTCACATGAGGATAAATGCGAACTGGCCAATTCTGAAAAATGATGCAGCTGACTCCGAAAACTCTGGAGAGATTCTTCAGTTAATTAAGCAGAGGTTATTCAAGAATTCTGTTGTGCCCTATCTTGACTTTCCTGTTATATACATACACTGTACTAACATACTGTAAGTTGACAGACTGGTCAGAAGCTGACAGAGCACAAGAAACAGATTAATGCTTAAGCTGCTGAAACATAAGCCTTTTATCACATATTCACATAAGGACAAAACAGGGCAGTGCAGAACATCCCCTGATAAAATCTGATGTCTAATTAAACTCCTGAAAAAGCAAACAGCCTTGAAAGACCGCAACAGCTTTCTTAAGAAGAAATTAGCATTAGCAACAGCTTTTTACTTCTGCTTGCGATTTCTATGTAATTTCTGTTAACGAGCTCTAGGTTCTTCTGATCCAGCCTAAGTCATGTACTTACTTGAGTCATGTACTTGCTACTCATGGGTCAGTGGCCAGATCCCCAAAATCAAGCTTCCTCCTGTTTTCTGAAATTTTGCCCATTTATTCTCAGAATGATGCTGGCCTCAAATCATGCTCCAAAAACCTGTACAAATTAGCTCTCTCTGACTCTCTTTGTTTTGTATTGGCATTATCTCAGGAAAATGTAAACTTGACAGAAGTGTTTGAATTTCCCCACCACCTTCACCTTTCCCAGTGCAGCGTCTTAGAAATCTTAAGTAGCAATTAAGATTCTCTTGGATGGCGTTATCTGTGTAGCTTTTCACTGACATTTTCTGCCTTTTCTTTTGTCTTTATTCTGTTATTTTGCTTTCACTGGCTGGATCAACTAGTGAAACATGACCTGTGAAATACACCAGTTAGAACAAACAAGCCAAATTTTCCCCCTGTGCAACTTCACTGACTCCAGTGGCCCTATGCCAGATACAGATTTATTCTGGTATAGGCAGAAAAAACGTGCATGGTACACCTATCAGGATACCATTGGCTCTGCATCCCCCCCCCACACCAAACTCAAGATTATCCTCTCTTCAGGCTCCCTCACAGCTCTTATTCTATCCCTCTGCTCTTATTCTACCGCTACCCCACCTCTGCTTGTATTCATCGCCACTCCTCCTTTTCTTCTTCCCACACATCTCAGTACAACACCATGCTCCTTTCCCTTGAAGTGCAATCTCTCTCCACACCACCCGGCTCGCTAAACTCCCCTTTTTCAGCAGACCCCTCTCAGGTCCCACACCCTCTTACACCAACTTTATTGAGCAATATTTACACACTATTGAGAAAATGGGAGACACTATATCTGGATACGTATCTCCAGTGCAGCAAAACTAATGAAGCTTCATTTCCTATGGCTATGCATCTAATGGTTTAGTGGCAGCCCTAGCCTTCCTCCACTCCTCCTCCTTGTAGTAAGACCTCCCACAACTACAGTATATTCACAAAATCACAAAACTGGAAACAGACAGGGAGGGAAGCAGTTAAGAACAGATCAACCAGGACATAGCTAAAAAAGACAAATCATTATCTTGCAAGGAAACCCTTGGGAAAACATGCCCACATATGTTCTCAGTGCAGTCGCCAGACTGCAGCTTGGACACCTCTTCAGCCAGGTACCCTCTCCCTGAATGCTCTTCATGTCCACTGTCAATTCAAGATGACATACACTCACACCAGTGTTCTCTGATTAAGACGATTAAATACTTGTAGGTTCCCTATTACTGCAAATCTTAAGAAACAGTGGTGTTTCCACCCTCCTGGTTTTCACTACACAATTATGATACACTGCAAGTAGCATAAAGCTTTCTATGCAAAGCAGCATCTCACATTCAGGAGAAAGACCATGCTGGCATGGGCACTGCTGGGTAAACCCAAGTTCCCACTGGTGAGAAAATGCAAATTATTAGGTCAAATGGGAAAAAAACATGGGAAGCACGTCCAGAGCTGGAAGGCCCATGAGCCACAAAACACCTGGAGGGCTGTTGTCACCTCCTGCCCATTAAATACTCCCCGAGGCTTCCATCACCCTTCACTCTCTCCCCCCAGGGTGAAGAACACATCCTACAGCTGTCGGCTGCATGAAGGTGGCTGCATGCCACGTCTGGGGTTAGGAAAGGTTTGGCCAAGAAAGCCTGATATACAGCCTTTGGAAGAGGAAGAACGATGATATTTAATCCTGCTTGTGTTTATTTCTTTGTCCTAATAAACCATATTTGGCTACTCTTTAAAAGGAACCTTGTTTTTCCTGACAACAAATACGGTACTTATGATGCCCTTCTCTCCCCAGATAGAGTACTCACTGTATTTACTTGAATTATATATAGTACTTGAATAGATGCCCTATTCCAGTACACCTGTGAGAAGTATCTAATCTTTGGGGGAGAAGTAGGTCAGCATTTACTGCTGAAATGTAATGGTTATTCTTTGTGTAAGACTCCACCCATAAACATGCACTTTTACCCAAACCAAGACACTAATCCTATTCACTGCAACAAACACTTTATTCACACCTAAGAAAACATGGCTTCTGCTAGATTGCCCATGTCCAGTGCAGTATCACTTCATCATATTTTAATTATTTCAAACTATTTATCAACTATGTCAAAGAGTACACTGCAAGATTAGATCCACACAGTACAGCAACTTACACTGCAAGTCTTCCAATCCACCACACTAACCTGTGCTCCTTTTCACTGATGACAACTGTACTATTTCAGCTTAAAAGCACAGGAAATTTGACTTCTCCTGGGATTTTATTTTTCCCCACCACCTCCCTTAAAATATTTAGCAGGTCTTTTTGTGTGCATTGCTAAAAAAAAAAACGGTTTAAGTCTTGATCTGAAGGAGGCAGTAGCATTTGTTTGTCTTCAATCAAGTTTTAAATACAGTTTAAAGCAAGCTGTAATTCTAGTTTTGTTTTACTTACAGATAATTTAACCTCATTTTTGTGATTCTGTTACTTACTAGAATTTTTCTGATCTTTGGACAGGTAAGGCTGCAGGGCAATAAAAATTAAATTTAAAAAAAAAAAAAACAAAACAAACAAAAAAAACCCCACCAAACCCAAAACCAGCTTTCAAGACAACTCTGAAAGTCTGTGCTGCTGTAAGTAAAATCTGGATTTTGAAAAAGTAAATTATTCCAAACTCACTATATGGAGGCACAGCCCAAGTGCTAGAAATACTAGAAACTGCTTGGAGGAACTGGCCACAATCTTGTTAATTAAAGATATGTTAGAAAACTTGGGTACTACTTTGTTTTGATCAGGAGTATTCTTTCCGAATATTATGACTGCACCTTGTCCAAAACAGGAGTAATACCCTCACAATTAAATAAAAATTTACATGTTTTGTAAATAAATGTGCTGATTCCCTGCTGAACACAACAGCAGAATGGCACTGAAGAGACTCATATTTTCTTATTTATTAATTGCTAGATGTAGCAGTGTAAGACAGAAGAACATCCTGTTGTCCCAAACAGTAATACTTACAATGTAAAACACATTTTTGTGAGCCAGGGGTTGGGGAGAGAAAGCAACTGACTCTCTTTACTTCAACACTTATTAAAATAATCCTACCTCAAGAAGCAATCACCTAAAAACGTTTACAAGCATGACTTATACATGGGATAACCAAGGCAGCTTCTGATGGACTTGGACATAAAGTTAGGTTTGAGTCCCATATCTATAGAGGTGAGGGTTGGACTCTGCAGAGGCATGACAGTCCCTCAAGGGATGCTCCAAGTCACTGCAGAAATACAACTGCTCTTCACTAGACCACGACCACAGGTTTTGTCACCAAGTATACTCATACACTTTCATTGCTCATTTCTCCCTAATTATGACAGAAGACAATATATAATAATGTGTATTAGTCAACTTTTACTGCAAAAAGTGGATGGCTGCTTAGAATCACACAAGCTCCAGAATGACTCACACGTTTGCTGTTTTTCTGTTAGGAAATTTATTGCTAGCTTCAGCAGCCCCTACCAATTCTAGCTTCACCACTTAATTTCAAAACTGACAGTCGGAAGAGCTATGGCTTTGTACGCCACCTTTCCCAAGAGACAAGGGAAGAACAACTACTCCATGAGGCTGAACCGACGGCTGTGTGTGACAGCGTCTGGTACATTCTGGAAAGTAGTTATTTGTTAACTAGGGGAAGTCTTTTAGGTATCCTGCAGAGATTAAAAAAAAATAATTATTCAAATGTGGATAACCAGGCAAGAAAAGAGTGGAGGTTATTTGAACAAAAGCCACCCTAGATGCGTCAAAGACAAAAACCAGGAGTGCAAGGCCGAAGGGACACAGAGCGGCTCTGGGGACAGGTGCGAAGGGATCGGTGCTGCGCGCTCGACCCCAGCTTCGGCCTTCGGGACGCCCGTTCACTGCATGGTTTAAGGTGGGCAGTTCTGAGGAACGCGCACCCCGCGCCCCGCTGCGTGCCCACGACATCGCCGCGCCACACCGCCTGTCACGACAGACACCGCCCGGCCGGCACCCGGGCCCAGCCCTGCGGCGGAGGAAGTTGTTACAGGGCGGCAGCGGCCTGCAGCGGCTCTGCCTAAGGCGAAGGGGCGCGTCGCACCAGCGGGCGGGGGAGAGTCAGTCCGGGCCGCCCTTCCGCCTCGCCACCCGTTCTCTCACCTCGCCTCACCCCACCTCCTCGTCCTTCCCCGGCGGCCACCCTCCCGCCTCGCCACCAGTTCTCTCACTTCATTTCCCTGCCGTTTCCCGGCAGCCGCCCTCTGCCTCGCCTCTCTTCCCACCTTCCCTCGCCGGGACCACCTTTCCACTTCGCTCCCTGCTCCCACCCGCCACGGGCCGCTTGCAGCGCAGCCCCGCGGGGCGCGGCTCGGCATTTACCTCGCTGCCGTCGCCGTCCTCCGCCCGCTGCTCCTTCCTCCTGCCGGCGGCGGGTGAGCCCTGCAGCAGCTGCTCCAGGCAGGCTGTGCTCGGCAGTGAGGAGCTCTTCTGGTGGGACAGATGCGCTCCGGGCCGGCGGCCCTCCTTCCCCCCCGCGGGCCCCTCATCCCCGGTGGCGGGGTCGTTTCGGCGGCCGGGCGGCGGCCCCTTCCCCTGGGGTAGCAGGTGCTCCCGCAGCCGGCGCAAGGCGGAGCCGGACTCGCCGCCCGGCTCCAGCGGCTCGGCGGCTGAGCAGCAGAGGTTGGGCTGGGAGGACGAGAAGACGCGGTCCAGCACTTGCCTCCGCCGCTTGAAGCCTCCCCACTTAGCGCCGGGTGGTAGGTCCCCCTTGTCGCTGGCCGGCGGCAGGGTGGGGGGCTCCGCAGTGCGGCGATCTGCTGCCACCCGCCCGCCGCCGCTCCGGCTCTTGCCCCCCAGCTGCAGGTTCTTCCACAGCCGGGCCTGGAACGACACCGCCGGCTCTGGCTGTCCCACGGCCGCTCGGGGCTCCTTGCCTGGCTCCATTCTCCTCCTCCTGCTGAGGCGGCGACGGCAGCAACAGCAGCAACCGAGCCCGCCGAAGCCCGGCGCCTTTAGTCCGGTGCGGGGCGGGCCGGAGCGGCGCCCGCCGCCGGGAACGAGCGCGGGGTTCCGCCGCGCCGCCCCCCGCGGCACGGCCGGGACTGCCCGGAGTTGGGAACAGGAGGACGAAATTCTCACCCCGGGCCCGCCGGGCGGGAAGTTTGCCGCCGTGAGCACCCCCAGGGAGGACGGCGAGGAGCCCGGCCGAAAAGTTAACGGCTGGCTCGGAGCGGACTGCCGGCGGCCCGCCTATACATATATATATATATGTATGTAAGTGTGGCGGTGCGAGGACATAGCCAGAGCGGGTCTGCCCGGCCCCCTCTCCACCTATTCTTTGTGTCCGTGACAGCCGCATTGTGCGGGAGGCAGAGGGCAAACGGCGATGCTGCAGTTCCGGCGGAGCCGGGGGTCACCCGGCCTTAGAGCAAAGGGGCTGCAAGCACCGGCCCGGAGACTCCTGTCTAGCCGGTTCGACAGGCACAGGGCGGGCGCGGGCACACGGCAGGGAAGCACGGGTCGCGGGGTGCTTGAGGGGGAACTTGCCCTTTGGTGGTTGTGGTATCGCTGCCCGGCCCAGCGGGTTTGTCAGGAATGCGAGGGGGGGAAAAAAACCTCAGCTCATCCAACACGGTTTCGTTTCTTTGAAAAACCGAAAAAGAATGGTAATAATTGTAAATAATCATTGTAATTGTAAATAATCACATTGTTTTCTCACTGTAGCACACTATCCTAGTGCCCACATCGCTGCATTTTCGTATGCTTAACGCTGAAGTTTCTTTTTAAATAAAAATAACAGCAGCAAGATGGGTTCAGAACAGATTTATACACTCATGAAACAAACTGAAGTGAAAGAAATCCTAGAATCCCAGGTTGGGAGGGACCTCAAGATCCTCTGGCCCAACCTTTCTAGCCAAAGCATGGTCTTGGCTGGATGTCCCAGCACCCTGTCCAGCCACATCTTAACAATGTCAACTGCTGGGGAGTCCACCATTTTCCTGGGCAGATTGTTTCAGTGACTGTACATTCTTACTGTGTAGAATTTTATGCTTGTGTCCGGTCTCCCCAGGTGTGACTTGTGCTCATTATACCTCCTCTTTTTCCCCAGGACTCCTTGTGAAAAGTGAGTCTATCTTTCTTGCATGCCATGAGCCATACCTTTACCCAGTGTAATTTTGGGTTTTGTTGCAAAAGACTTCTTTACACCCTAGCGGGTTTGACCTCCTACATGCTGATTTGGCTTTCCCAAAAAAGTTTGCAACCAGACGGTTGACAATACAACTCATACCGAACAGAATAGGAAGAATACAAATTAAAAGTAGTAAGATAAAATGGGTGCTTTCCAATCATCAGAGCCTTTGAAATTCAATCTACAATACTTGAGAAAATAGCCAAAATAATCTCTGAGCCACTGAAGATTATTTTTGAGAAGTCCTGTCAGGTAAGCGTCATTTCAGGACCAGAAAAAGACAAACATAGTAAAAAAAAAATAATAAAAAAAAAATAGAAAATCAGAGATAAGTCAACCTACTTGGATCTCTGGAAGTGAATACAAATGGTCAGCTTCTAACCACCTAAAACCAAAAGCACCAGATAGCAAAGTTCAAATGCATCAAGGCCTAGAGGAAGCTTACGTGTCTCAATAGCTGATATGACATCTTTAAATCAAAGAAATGTGCTGAGATTGAAAGTCTTTTAAAGATTTGCTTGATGGTGAATAATGGATGTACTCAGCAGGAATAAAAAAGTAAAACAAAAAATTAATTTGGCTCTTTGCCTATACTGGGGAGAGTGGCAAAGGCCCTGTATATATATGCATTTGCCTTCTGGTTTTTTATTTTCATATTGCAGTTGAAACAGGTCTAAAGTAAGCAGCTTTTCAGAAAAAGTGATTTGCATTAAAGTTATGGAAAAATGAATGCTGTTTTTCACACCACTGATAGGTATAGGAAGAATACAACATTGTGTTCAGAAGAACTGTTATCTGACAAAATACTGGACTACTCTCATCTTTAAATGACAGTTATTTTCAGTGGTGATCATGCTTTACTATTAGAAAACAAATAAACAAAAAATAGAGACCAGAAATTTGTTACTTGTATAGATATATTCACTACAGCAACAAATCTCGTAAGTGCAGTGCTATATGGAAGTGCATGGTCTCAGAGCATATGCACGCTGCAGTATAGCAGACTGGTGTTCTCAGTCTGCCTTGTGCTGTATTCTCACAACCCCTGCCTTGTGTGGTCCCAAACAACACGCTGTCAGGCTTCCTGATTCTTTTTCCACAAAAGCCAGCCTAAGCATTCTTTACATTAAAATGGTATCATTACAGATAATTTCCAAATCTGTCAAATTTGTGTCCATTTTATCGAACCAGAAAGTAGATGTGTCTAGAAAAGAAAAAGGTCAGAGTAGCTCAGGCTGTTTAGTTGTAGAAACGTACTGTCCTGGGGGCAAAGTGGATGTGGGACCAGAAGGCTGTATGTGGCTGCACTGTAACAGTCACAGAGGGATTATTCTAGAATTCAAATCAGTTCACCATATACAGTTTTATAATCAAATGAGTCATTCTGCATGTTGATTTCTCTCAGCTGCATTCATTTAAGTTGAAGTTGAACCTGGCATAAAGATCACAGCAAGACTTCAAGTAACATTCAGACAGAGATCTCAACATTTAACAAAAATATGGATGTAACACCTATACAGATGGGAATGACACTTTTCAAAATGTAAAAATAAGCCTTTATTAGCCTTAGAAATAAAAGAAAGATATCTGAAAAGATCTCTTTACAGCTTACTGCTTCAGCATTTTGTAACCTGAAACAAAACAGAATATAAAACCAAGAAAAAGGGTTATACAGTATTTCAGACATGAAACCAAGGAGATTCATAGCAGAGAATTTTTTCATTTCCAATGTATTAATTATGCATGTCAAAAAAGAACTCTTTCTGAGGAAAGCAGCTATTAATCTCCTCAGAACTGTATTTGATTTATCTATATACGTGATTACTTTAATTAGTTTAATTTAAACTGATAAAACGAATGTACCACTCAGTGCTAAGCACTGTGCTTTTTAAAAAATACATATATTTTTACCAGACTTGCAGACTGATGCAAAGCCCAAAATTTCTCCTAAAGTAAAAATCTCGTGTTTTGGTTTTGGTTATTTTCTGGTGGTGTGAGAGGGGAAGCTACTTTGCAGCTTTTGATGTTTACATCATTAGCTACATATATTTATATTTGGAAATACAGTTAATTTTCTTTGCTAACGCTTCCTTTTGAAATACCCTCGCTTCTCCCATCATTCAGAATCTAAAATACAGCAAAGAAGTCAATATTTTGAAATACATACCAGACAGCTGTGAAGGTAATATTTGTTTGAAGAGGGCTCAAAGGATGAACACAATTTTGGTCTTAGCCTGGAACCACATTTTAACACCATTTGCACATGTTTGCTGCTGTCATTTAGTCTTCTTTCCAGTGTCTCTCCAGTCTGAATGATTATTAATTTGAGTCTCTTTTTCATCTGGGTGATGTTTTAAATGGCAAAGTTCTTGTCTGTAACACTGTTTTTAAGTACAGGTTTATACTTACTGGTTTTTGCTTGTTTTTTCCCAAACAGTAGCAATGGGATGTTAGGCAACCGATGGATGAATTTCATGTCTTAGCATCATAAGTGATAATCTCAAGCAGTTCTCCCCAGCTTGTTGTAAGAATTTTTGTATTGTGCAGACAACAACATGTTCCTTAACTCCTCTTGTTCATGGAAAAAGTATTTTTACCTGCAACTTTCTGATCAGGATTCAGCATAAGGCACAAATTCGGTATAGAGCATTGTAGTCAGAACAGAGAAGAGCTTTGAAATGCTTGAAGTGTTAAAACTGTGTTGTATGATTTGGAGCTTCAGGCAGCATTAGCTAGAGGCAGTACTACAAGTCGTGTCTTCACCCACAAGTACACAGTAATGCGTACATTTCTTCTTGGGTTTTATACAGATAATTATGCCTCTACCACATACGACTTTTCTAATTTGACAAAACATATCTCACAGAGTAAATCACAACTTTTCTCAGCAAAATGTGTCATCGTCTTGGTGCCGTTTTGAATATTTTTAACCAGCTGTTGACTTTTTTTTGATGTAGCAATGACAATAAAGATACAGCCATTAACTGAGGATACTGCAGGCTTCAAACTGATTTCCTGAAGTGAGAGAACCCCCTTTATATATTAGCAAAGTACCATGAAGATTATAGAGTGCACTGTTACAAGAACGTGAGTCAATTCACTGGAGATTGATTTCCCTTAATTTCATGTACATCTTTGTACATAATTTTAGCTGTATTGCTATCCTTCTGCTAAAGTTTCTTAGCTATTTGTGTACTTGGTGCTGTTGATGTCTGACACAATTCTCGTAGCAACAAGTGAGGAAGGTCTAATGCAGCTCCTGGGACTAAAGGGAAGGAAAAGCAGAGTCATAGGTCAGGACAAAGTTACAGCATCTTTATACCATAAGCCACGTCCAGATCTCCAAACCACATAGTTAAACCATATACCAGTTTACCATATACACTCAATGGTGGGAAATCCAATCAGACATTCTAACAATGGAGAAGCAGCACACTCCACCTACTAGAGGGCTGAGCATTGAGACGTGGCACTTCCTCAAATGTTTGCAGCTGTTTTTCCCTTTAGATCTGCACCACTGAATAAGCAGCTCTTCACATGGGATCTGGTTCACTTTTTTTATTTAGTACTAAATTGCAGTAATGTCAGTGCAAAATTGCAATATTAATTTAGAAACTTTATAAAGCTTCAATTTTATTCTAAACTTGTCTAACATTTTCATCTCCCGAGTTAATACGTACATTAATGAGCAAGCCTATGTTTGATTCAACATTTCAAACTACCCTCTGTTTATTGTATGTGGGCTGGTTTTATAATATAAACAAATGTCTGTAAAAAAAGTTTGCATCTTTAAATGCTTGTAGGGTCTTCATGAATTGGTACCATTAACTATTTAGTCCTCTTCTACTAGTCTAACCTTTATTTGCTGGCATGACAAATATTTTTGCACAACAAAATACATACATTATTTTTCTTTTCTGTTTTGTGATTCATCTCAACTTCAGCCCTGCTTTTTATTCCTGTATTGTAAAACCCAGTCACAGCTTGTGGTTCACTACGAATGGTCATATTGACATTTAAAGTTGTCTGTGCTAATTGACCCAAGTAGTTTTATATCATTACAAAAATCCAAGTTCATAATTGGATCAATGAGCAAACCTTGAAATGCTTCCACTGCTCCTCAGCATTTACTTCAGGACAGGTTCTGGTGTTTCCTTCAGTATCTGTCAGAGTTACTGGATCAGCTATAACTTCTTCCCTTTTCAGTCCCTCAGAAAGCTCTTTCAAAGGGGGGTTGCTTTCAGGCCGTTGCCTAGCTTTCTGAGAAATTTCATTATTCTCTTTCAGGTTTGGACCTGTTTCTCCATAACCCCTCTGTCTCTTCAGGTATTAAGTTCAGTTTTCTTGATTTCCTTCCTTCGCATGCACAATAGCCACTTAATTGAGTGTCCTCTTAGAACCATGACATCATTTACTTTAGAATTAGAAGCAAAAAGAAACAAAACTGCAGCTACTCTCCATATTCATCTTATTATA